TTGGTGAAAGCCTAAAGAGCCCCTATAAAGCCCAAAGGCATAGAAAGACAATCATGATATAGCCACGTGACTAGCGGCATGTGGACTAATAAAGTGATGACACATGGCATGGTTTTTAAAAAATGAGAGCTATAAATACCCCTCATCTACCCCTATGCAAGGTAATTACCCCACTGCACTTCTCTTTTTGCAATATTTAGTTTTCAAGAGCTTCTCTCTCTAAAAAACTAAATATTGTTTACTTGAGTATCGAAGTGTTTGCCCTTAGGATACTTCCTTAGGTTTTTCACGTATCGGAGTAGTTTAAGAACTCAATATGTGGCCTTGTGAAGCTGTCCAAACAGTGTTTTACACATGAAATCTTGATCTGCAACCCAACACAGTCCACTACCAACAAGCATAGCTTGTGAAGTGTTATACATATTGTTATGGATATGAGGAAATGACATTGGACTTATTTGAGGAATTATCCAAATATTTTTTTTCAAGCTATAAACTCAATAATATCAGATGGTATCAACAAAAAATATGAAAATAATATTGAGCCTTATTAAGTTTACTAGATTAAATTTATAATATCAAAGAAAGTACTCCTTGAACCATTCCTTTGATCTTCTCTCTAGAAAGGGATTACTAACAATAATAAACCAAAAAAAAAAAAATCAGTTAAAAGAACAAAAAAAGGGAGGCAGTTAACTAACAATGTCAATAATAAGAGGATGTAATCTTATATTGTTTCAATATTAATAGAAATTAGGTAGCAATAACCATATTGGTGACAAATGCAAAAATTTACTTCTAGCTAAAGAATTCTATGTTATTGAGCTAAATACAAAAGCTTGTTTGGATTTCATTACAACTAACATGAAAGGGATATTTAAAAGGTTAGTAAGAAATAAGCGAAGACAGGGGATGGAAACTCACAACAAAATACAAGAAAGCAATCCTTCACCCTCAATCTCAACTAATTGCTATAACTTTATCTCAATTCTAGTGCATGTCCTATCAATAGGCACATACCAACAATGCTTCTCACTTAAGTACTTGCCCTTACATTTGCCTATAACAATTTCAAGAGTACTACCACAAGATGGGAAAAATTTAGGAGCTTTGTCAAAATCACCACTAAGAAGCTTCAACCTAGTGATGTAAAGAATGATGGTCATAGCACAAGTAGCACACTCTATTATGAGATAGAGCCATTAAAAATCAGCTTTGCTTTCCCCAAATGCTGTCTAGGTGAAGCTTGTACTGCTTAAGAACTTCCCCTGTGATAACATCAATGATGTAGAAAGCAGTAATCCTTGAGGTATCACTAAAACTGAAAAACAATCCCATACAGAGGTGCTCATGATCAGAGAATGGTTTAGGAATATCCTTAAAATGATAGCAATGCCTCCAAGTCCAAAGGGGTAGATCATACTTATGTGAGCATAAAGTATTACCTTCTGCTGCGGTAGCTAAAAGGGCCCCCCTTCAACAGTGGCACAAAAATGGGGGTGCCATGCTTTGGTGGAACCATTGCAGGTCAAACAATTGGGACAAGCAAGTGGACAATTTATACAAAGAGAATTTTCACTTCTAATATCGTATAGGTAGGTGACATTCTCAGGTTCATATTGAACTCCGTAGAAAGAATAGGGCTCATGAGGGAGGAGGTAGATGATATCACCTATGATAGCTAGTGTTGTTTCTTTGAGAGAAGAGTTCAAGGGTGGACAAGAGTGCCATGAATCAAGGAGGAAACAATTAGTGTGACAAACATTCATCTTTCCCTCTTGCTCACATCCTTGGCTGCCGAAGATGTACAAGAAACAATCCTTCAAAATGCATTTGGAAACTTTGTGGAAACGAAAGTGTGATTTGGGTTAAACCTGTACTAGAAAACCTCTATAACATGGGCCTCATGAAAATTGTGATTAATGAGAAGCCAAGCTTTAGTGGGATTTCCATCAGGAAGAGATCTGTCTCCTTGAATGAGAATTGAAATGCAGAAGGTTGAGTGGATTTCCACATCAAGATCAACATTGACATCCATGGAGAATTTTTGGGTTTATCGATGGGAGAAGAAATTCAAAAAAGAGCAGACTAAGGGTAAGGAAGGGAAAGGAAGGGAAGGGAAACAAGAAGAAAAAGGTTGATGCCTTTCTAGATAAATAAACTTGAAAGAGATGGTAATATTTTTATTTAATTAAATAATCTTAAAATATAAAATAGAAAA